CAAGTTGGCCAAATATTGTAGATGCAAACATACTGTTTTGTTCAATCTTTTGCTCATCTGGGGAATAGAGAATGAATAAACATGGGTCCAGGCACAGCAGCTCAAAGAGAGGAATGCAGGTTGGGGAGAACCACAAGTAAAAGAGAAGAATTTCAGGCTGGATGTGGTGGCTTATGCCTGTGATCCCAATACTTTGGGAGGCCAACGCAAGAGGATAGTTTGAGCCTAGGAGTTCAAGACCAACCCAGACAACACAGTGAGACTTTGTCCCTACAACAAAAATTAGCCTGGCATGTTATACTGGTGCATGCTCTTGGTCACAGCTACTCGGGGGCTGAGGTGGATCGCTTGAGCCTGGGTGGTCGAGACTACAGTGAGCTGAGACTGCGTCGCTGCACTCCTGGGAGACAGAGAAAGACCCTGTCTCACACAAAAGCGGAGAGAGGTAATTTCAAAGGTACAGTTCTTGATGTAATTTAGGTAGAAGAGGTTAAACATTTAAGTGCAGTTTCTTTTAAATAGTGGTTCTCAAACTTCAGCATGCACCAGAATTATGGTAGTGTTAAATTACAGAGCCCCAACTCTAGAGTTTAATTCAGTAGGTCTAGGCCAAGACCTAAGATTTGCATCTCTAACAAGTTTCCAGGTTATGTTGATGATCCAAGGACCATTATTTTGAGAAGCATAGCTTTACAAGATGTTTACTACCCATTAACGCTCCATTTCCTTCTAAAAGTGATCAGGTGTATATGGAAACAATTTAATAATGAATATGAAGAATTAAAAACAATTTTCCAGGCCTAAGTAGCTTCTACTCTCTATTCTACCAAAGTAGGAAATCACTATAGGGATAAGAACATACAGAAAAATGAGTCTGGGCTCATCTGTTAACCAAGCTAACCACCAGCTATTTACAACTGAAGCTAACGGGAATTTGAACATTGGTTAGATATTTAAAGATACTAAGAACTATTGGCTGGGCACGGTGGCTCATGCCTGTAATCCCAGCACTTTCGGAGGCCAAGGCGGGTGCATAATTTGAGGTCACAAGTTCAACACCAGCCCCAGCAACACTGTGAAACCCTCTCTCTACTACAAAAATTAGCTGGGTGTGGTGGCACATGCCTGTAGTCCCAGCTGCTCGAAGGCTGAAATAGGAGAATTATGTGAACCCAGGAGATAGAAGTTGCAGTGAACTTTCATCAACCCATGGCACTCCAGCCTGGGCAAGGGTGAGACTGTCTTTAAAAAAAAAAAAAAACCACTAATTTTTTAAGTGTCATAATAGTACCATATTTTACAGTTGAAACGGGAGATAAGTTTTGCTTTAAAATAATGGAAAGGAAAGGTCAAAGGTATTATAGATGAAAAAAGGTTAACCAAGAGTTGTTAACTGTTGAAGATGGGTAATGGGCAGAGACGGGGAACACTGCAGTATTTTCTCTACTTTTGATTGTATTCGTAATTTTCTATAATATAGTTTTTCAAACGCCAAAAAATTATGTGACTGATAATAGAATTTATGAGAAGCAGCCAGGCACAGAGGCTCACACTGGTAATTCCCGCACTTTGGGAGGCCAAGGCGAGCAGATTACCTGAGGTCAGGAGCTTGAGACCAGCCTGGCAAAAATGGCAACGTCCCATCTCTACTAAAAATACAAAAATCAAACCAAAACAAAACAAAATAAAAACGTAACTGGGTGTGGTGGCACATGCCTGTAATCCAAGCTACCTGGGAAGCTGAGGCAGTAGAATCATTTGAAGCTGGGAGGTGGAGGCTGCGGTGAGCCAACATTGCACCACTGCATTTCAGCCTGGGCAACACAGCGAGACTCAGTCTTAACACACACACACACACACACACACACACACGAGTGTAAGAGAAGGCAAAAAACTTTAGGTAGAAAGAGTCAAAACAATCTGACTATGCAGTTCCTTGAAATTTAGTCTTTTACTTTGAAGGTAAAGCACACATTTTACAAAAATTTAGGGTTCTTATTTTAAACTCCAAAGTTAAGATAAATTAATGCATATAACCAAAATACAGCATAGGAACATACTATCCAGCTACCCTACCCTCTTTTTTTTAATCTTCTCATATCTCTGCTATCACTTGGAAG